TTGGCCAGAAGGAAGCCCTGGGAGCCAATGGGGAAGCAGCCCGTGTTGCTAGGCTCTCTGGGATGCGGTGGGGACGATTATGCCCAAACAAAGCGTGAAACAGGAGCAGGGCAGAGAGGCTCCAAAAATACCCGCCTGGGAAGAGCCAGATCTCCTTCCAGGAACGCAGGGCTATAAATAACCCGCTCCCTGCTCAGCCGGCTGCCCCGGAGACAGCGGAGCCCGGGCCGTTGGCACCACGCCACAGAGGGATCAAGACAGTGCCCGCTTCTCTGGAAGCGCAGCGCCACCCGGGCACAGACAGGCAACAGCCGGGGGCGAGGCAGAGTGACAGCACCGCCTCCCCCGCCCACAGGCCACCATGAAGTAATTCACACAGCGCTGCCATGGAGCCTGGGTCTGACACTACCCGACTTCCCTCAAGTGCCCCCAACAGTCACATGTCACGCCAAGGCGGGGGGTGGGGTTTGCAATCCAGCTCCTACCACCACATGATCCATTCTGGGGATCCCCAGCCATTCCCTCATATTCACAACCAGGGCAGCACCTTGCTATGGCATAGCAAGCACTTGCCACCTCCAGATCTGAGCACCCAGCGCGGCGGGCACTGGGAAGCGTCAAACTCAGCCACTTGCTCCCTAAATGGGACATGTCACTGAGCTATCCCAGCTCCTCTAGAGTTCTAGGCCCTAGCCTCTTTCCAGGCAAAAGCCTCAAGAAGCAAGAGATTCTGACACTGTCAGGCTCCTCTCCCAGCCCATAGCCACCAGGTCTCAATGCCTGGGCACACCTAACGCACACAGCAGGAGTCCCCAGTTCCCAGGCAATGCCCTCTAGAAAGTGGGTCTTGCAGCTCCTCCTGTGCACTCGAATAGAGGAGCCAATCTGCTACAGCCTAAGGAGCCCTGGCTCTGCTGTCACTGCTCATGCTTCTTGTTCTGGAGGTTGCCAATTCAACTCCCCAGGGTGGTGCCCTACACACACAGTGAGGGACCAGGCAAGGTACCTTAACTCTGCCCCCTTCTGCAACTTCCCCACACATTAAACACAACCCCTGAGAGAGAAAGGGTCACTGTGATTGGCTCCTCATAGCATCTGCTTGGCGGGGCTGGAGCTATCAGAAGAGAAAAAGCTACTGCAATTAATTTTGTGGAAGATGCTTAGCTATCGCAATGATGGGCTGCAGTGTCCAAAAGCAAAGATTTAGAAGGGAAGGTTAGAGACACACCACAGCAGTATAAAGAGTGGGTGCATCCTCTTCACCTCTCTCACAACACAGACAACTAATCTGGTTAACAGACAACTGCTTTAAAACCAGGTAGTGGCCCTTTAAGCAGTTTGTAAGACCTTGAACAGCACTCACCATGTTGCATACCAAAAAGCCAGCCAGAGCAGCAGTGCCTATGTTAGGAAGAAAAAACAGGACTATGTAGCACTTTAAAGACTAACAAGATGGTTTATTAGGTGATGAGCTTTCGTGGGCTATATATGGCTGTGACAATTTTCTTCCACTATTTGATCTGAGGAAGTGGGTCTGGCCCACGAAAGCTCATCACCTAATAAACCATCTTGTTAGTCTTTAAAGTGCTACATAGTCCTGTATTTTGTTTCAGCTAGACCAGACTAACACAGCTACATTTCTATCACTGCTCTATGTTAGGAAGGTGTGTGTGTTACAAGCAGGTTATCTGGAACCCAGCTGGGCATGTGTGGATTCACCATAAAAATACACAGCAGCAAGATTAAAGGAAAAGTTGTCTTTGTGCACACTATGCTGTTCACCTACAGACCTCACCACCACAAGAGAGGAGCCGTGATTGGAAAATGGATTAGGAGGAACAGGAATAATGAATGAAAACTTCAGAATTATGTTACATGGGATTTTTTTTAAATAAGTTGCTTCTTTGGGACAAACATTCCTGCCTGCGGGTTAGGAGACAAGATCTGCCTATGGATCAGCACTGCCCTTATTACTGGGGTATTACTAGGAAGGCTAAGTCACAGACCAGGTCTCATTGTGTTAAGCACTGCATACTGTTTATCAGATGTTCGACGGTAGTACCTATGCCAAGAAACCCGCAGCATGAACAAGGCTCCCCCTTGTGCTAGATGCTGTACACTGGTATTTATTAGGTGTATTATGGCAGTCATAGACCAGGACCTCACTGTGCAGAGTGCTGCGCGTTATTTATTAAATGCACCTAAGAGCCCTACCAACAGATCAGGACATCACTGGCCTAGGAGCTATAGGTTATTGGTTTGTTAGGCGTATTATGGTAGGGCCTAGTGCCCCAGCCATGAACCAGATCTTCCTTGTGCTAGGTGCTGTACAGACACACATTCAATGGACAGTTCCTTCCCCAAACAGCTTCCAGTCAGTTCCTGGGTTACTCAGGCTTGTCTCGTTAGGAAGCACTACCCTCTCTATGATGTGCAGACATTGTTCTACCAAGGCAACCCATATGGGCAGAGTTAAGGTGCTTTGGGTGGTCCCAACATGCATCTGCCTGGGACAGCCACTACCACATCCTCTAGGCCCAGTTAATGGGACTGGTACTCTCGGGGATAGGCTCCACTCCAGCCACAGCAGAATGGCACCATAGCTCAAGGCACAACCAAACCTTGCAGCATGGGCCATCCACATGGTTGCCCTACAGTATTTTGAAGGGGTTAGTCTCTATCTTATGAACTTATGCAGCTCACACAACAGGATCTGAGCATGCCACCTTTTCTAAAGCCTCACAAGGCCATTATCCACATGATGCAGACGGGGAAACTGAAGCATTCAGAAGCTAAGTGACTTGCCCAAGGCCACACAGGAAGTATGTGGAGGAGAAGGGAACTAAACCTGGGTCTCCCAAGTCCTCGGCTATTGCTCTAACCACTGGGATGCCTGTCCTCTCAGAGCTGGAAATTCTAGCAATTCCCCAGCATCAAGTAAGGCGAACCCCAGACTGCTGCCTCCCACTCTGAGACAGAAAGATCCCCTTCCAGCTAAGCCTTAACGTGAACAGATACCCAGCCACTGTTGTTCCAGGAGTCCCTTCCTTCTACTGCTGAGGAAACAGGGAAGGGGAAAATAGTGGCCATACCACTGAGGGAACCAGTAGGAAAGATGGGGACAGATCCACTGGGTGAGAGGATGAGGAGAAGAACTGGCAGAGGGCAGGCACACAGAGTAGGAAAGAGAGAAATGGCAGGGGGCTGGCCCATGAGCAGGGGAGGGAAATGAACACTCAAGATGACATCAAGGCCTTAAGTTCTGGAGCAGCTGGGACAGAACAATGGCAAACCCAGCAAGGCCCAGGGAAGGGAGATGCCCTGAGACCAGGGCCCAGCCATGAGATGTAGGCTCTCCAGGGATGCCACATGGCTGACAAAGTAGAGGTGCCCAGTCAGGATCCAAACACAGCGGAGGTGCCCGGAATGGAACCAAACACAGTCTTCTGCTCTCCCCACTTCCCTGGGAACAACACTGTTCAAATTGCTCTGCTAGGGAACAAACTAGAATGAGGTGGGTGTGGATGTGGGTGAAATTACCCGGAAAAAGCACCAATGGCCATGGCCTCTTCCAACATCTGTGCTGCTACAATGGGGCCCACCAGCCCCAGAATCACATTTCTTTTTGACACTGGGAAATGAGGTCTTCACCACCCATTTCTATCAGGCGACTCTATGGACAACTGGAGAACTGGCAGGTGTGTGACTGCGCAGACCCTCAGGTACACTGGAGTTCTGACAACAGAAGGCAGCTTACGTTGACCTAAGTGTTAAGTGTTTAAACTAAAGTGTAGCTCCCACCGATGTAACTCACCCACTATGCCGACTTAACTCCACCTCCGCAATAGGTGTGGCACTTAGGCCAATATAGTTAAATTAATGTAGTGTCAGAGCAGATGTGGTACTGCCTACATCAACTGCTGCTGCCTTTCAGAAACCATCTCACATGTCCTCACACCAGCAGTTAAATTGAGGAAAACATTCCTGGGGAGGATGCATACCACCAACACAAGAAGTATAGCATGGCCACGTAACATTGATTCAATTACTGCAGTACACTGACAATTCAGGTGGACTTAATTCAGTAGCATAGACATGCCCTCAATAATGGAAACCAAGAGTAGGCCTACTCGTAAAAAGTTATACATAGTTAACCCACCTCCATGAAAGGCAGTAGCTACACTAGGGGTTAGATCAGTATATCTGTCTTGCTCAGGGCCATGGATTTTTCACATCCTTGAAATATCCTAGTTATGCCAATGTAAGTTATAATGTAGGGTTGGCCTCGTTAAGAGATTGTCAGTCAGACTTAAAACCTCAGCTTTTGCTTGTACCAATTTCATCCAGACACACCTCCATACAGATCCCCTCCATTCCAGACCTTAACTAGCCACATATCCATACCACAATCCCTGTTCAAACTCGGATCCTCCCAACCCAGATCTGTATCACTCCAATGCAGATACCCCCACAATGCACTGAGTGAAAACACCACACACATCACAGATACCCCTGTAAAGTGCAGGCCTCACCACAGACACAATCATAAACACATAACAGCAGCAAAAACTCCACCCAGACCAAGATCACCCATCACCTTGCAAAGCTTGCAGAGGGAGTGAAAGTAGGGCAGATAGGCCCAGGGGGTGATACCTGAAGACGATGTAGGGCTAGGGTAGGAAAGGGTTGTCAGGATTAGACAGGGAACTGAGATGGGAGGGATTCCAGGTTCTCAGAAGTGGGAAGGGAGCCAGGTTCCTTGGAGTGGAACAGGAATGGGCTGCACATTTTGGGGGGGATGAGAGAGCACAGGTTGGGACAGGGCCATAACCAACATGTAAGAGGAGATTTCTAGGAGGTGCCATTTAAAATCAAGAGTACCACCCCAGTAGTAAATGAGGGCAACATAGTGAAGGGATCTAAGGGGAGAAAACTGAGTGCCCACTGATGGTATCAGAAGAAAGTTTCTGGGTGGCACCAGATAAGAGAGCCCAGTTTCCAGTCAGTACCAAAAGAGAGGGAGTTTGCTTTTGGAGAGGGTGACAAATGTAACAGGTTTCTCAGGCACCAGGAATACGCAGGTGGAATCAGGGTTAACATGAAAGATGTACAGGAAGATATTGAGGGGGTGAAAAAAAGCAGTGAGTAGATTCCAAATTGTTCTCAAGTATGGGCATGAGCATTCCCAGGCAGGTATCGGAGTGTGAGGCTGGGGTTCCCAAGGGGGAATTTTTCAGGTGACATTTGTTGATGACAATGCATTGTGAGAGAAGATAAGGCTAGTGTTCCCAGAGACCTGGAGGAGCCGGATTGACAAGGGGCAGATTCAGGAGCAGCTACAGCAAGCAGGAGGCTATGGAGAAGGGGGAGTTGTTTCCTGGGCAGTGGGTTCCATAGCAATTGCAGTAGGGCAGCAAAGGATTGCTTTCTATGTGATGGTATCTAGTGCCAGGTACAAATACAATGGGCCAGGGACAAGAGGGAAGGGGCTCACTTTCTTTATGATGGTTACCAGGGCAAATAGAGCAAGGCAGCAGTGGGTTGGTTCCTAGGCAGGTGCAACATTATGGGGGGAGGTCAGTTCCTAGGTCATGATTTCTGAGGCAGGTTAGATCTAAGGAGTCAGTTCCCAGGAATGAAGATTAAGAGCATGTACAGTAGGGCAGTTTGGGGAGTCAAGGTAAGGAGAAAGGAGTCAGTTTACAAGAGTCCTCTGAGTTGTTCCAGACAGATGAAGCTCCAGGCAGAGAGCAGGAATCCTGGCTGGTCAAACCTGTGGCACTGACCATGGCAGTGGAGTGTACAGGTGGGGAATTAAGGGTCGATGTGGGCCCACCCACAGCTGTGGCCCTGCCAGATAGTTAGGGTTCCTGGTGGAGCGAGGCGAAGGGGCAAGGGCAGGGGTCACACGGGCAGGACGCAGGCAAAAGGGGGCGGGAACAGCAGTGGATCTCCAGCCAAGCAGGGTAGGGGCGAGGGCCAGGCCCATCTCACTGTGCAGCTTCCCTGACAGGCGAGGGGGATTCAAGGTGGCACCGGCCCCGGAGCCCAAGAGCAAACGGCCCCCCGCTATTTCTCTGCTGAGCTTTCCCCTGGGACTCCCCTTCCTCCCCCCGCGG